GTGACTGTGAAGAGTGCTTGAATTGGCTCCTGTATTGTAGCATCAGTGATTACCCTAGCGGCCATTAAGACCAAGTCAAGCACTACGTTAACAAAACACAAGGGGCTGCGTTGGTCGGGGCTTGTTGCTACGGGTGCCAGAGAGATGATTAAATACATTCCAGGACGGTCAGTTTGAGTAATGGATCCATGAATTTCAAGGCTTTTTGGATGCTAAAACACTGCACAGTGGTTTGTAGTACTATGAGACAGGATTTTACGACTCTGGAAAGTTATTACAGAAACAGTTATTTGACCAAACTCGTCGTAGAGACCTGGAGGTAACTAGTAGGATTACGCTGTTCGTGTTACAAATTAGCCTAACGGGAATGTGCCTGCATTTGATTGGACATCCTAGTGTGTAACCAGGTGATGTTTCATTACGTTGCTGCAAAATAGAGCCAGATTCAACTTCTTCACCTGTTGATCCTGCAGTCCTCTCTGCGTGCAATGACTGAGGAGGCTGGTATCGTCAGTCTGAACACAGCAGTCAGTCAGGAGGTTCAAGGAGAAAAGCTGGAAACTGTCTGGACCTTTGGTTGGGATAGACACATCTGAACAAACTCATGTATCTGATTTCTGCTTTCTCCCACAGGGAAGTTTGATCCAAAAGCAATGAACAACTTTTATGACAACATTCAGCCTGGTCCCGTTGTGCCGCCCAAACCTGGGAAGAAAGGTGAGACTTTTTTCAACACAGTTTTCAGAATTTAAAAATGAGTCATGAGACATTTTCATCAAGAGAGAAGAAAAACAGATGCCTCACGAATTAATCCTGCTGCTAAGATACAGGTTTGAGTTTCATTGCAGGATCATTCAGGTCATTGATCACATACAGTATTTCTCTTATGCCTACCATACTCTAGAGGACTTTGAAAAGACTTTTTAAGGACTAAAGTCTCACTCCCTTTTATACATCCCTTTTACAGAGACTGGGGGTCTGGCAGGGTCACCATTTGCTAGACTACAATTGGATATCTTTTGAGATTATTTCCCATCCTGCTCCCAGTGGAGAATATTACGCCAAACTCCCTTAAAGAAATATGACTTGACAGTTCCCCATGTGTCAGCATAAAACCCCACATAATTCTAGGAAAAAAAAAGTAAAAGGTGTCATACATTCTCGTCATTTTACAAAAAATAAACTGTAAGTTTGTACAAGCTTCACATTTTGAATTTTGAATTTTGACCTCAAGTTGCGATCAGCCTCAGTTGATTAGCTGCATTATTTTAGTGGGAGGAGACTGGGGGAATTGACGCTCATATGCCTCCCCGGAGTCCCCTCCATGTTTACCGTCTGCCCAGTTTGCTGCTTCTTGTTTGGTGCTGGAGAGAGCGCAGCTATTGGTTGTTGATAATGTTCGCGACATTGAACTTTACAATTTGCACCAAAGACTTATTAAACATACGATTTTGTTGGAAAGTCATGAAATGAAAAAGATCGACTCAAGACAGCTCAGACTGAGTGTAATGACCACCTTACGCCAAACAATCAAGATCACTGGAGATTTGGAGATTTGTCTGCGAAAGTGAAATTGCTTGAAAATTCGTCTGGTATAAGCCCGAGATTTGTTCTGCAGATTTGGGACATTTTTATTTTCAAACCAAAACTAAAAGCTTAATTTCGACTGGGAATGTAGGCTGAACATTTGTATCGGCCGATATTCACCTTGTTGACTGCCATCAGCTTATCTGCAAATAAGATGACATTCATTGATGCCAGTGGCAGATGTTTTCTGTTGTGTCACATCAATTTTGCACAGGCTGAAGACTAACAGGCACAGACTTAGAATAATGAGCAGATACAAGAAGAATACAATGACTGTTTGGCAGATGGGCTCAGTGATCTTGCTGTTCTACTATGAGATGGCTCAAATTAGGGATGGGCAGCACAAGCAAAAACACTATTCGAAAATCGTGGCAACTATTCGACAATTTTTCGGATAATCCCCCCCCCCCCCGGAGCCATGCACACAGAGATCCATTCATTATTAAATGCCCGAACATACTCGGGCAGAAGGTACGCGGAACGGACTCCACGGAGGTCCGCGCGGACTCAAAGCGGACATCCGCAAGCCCTGTGTGCGCAAAGCTCTGCGCACCAGTGACTGCTCGGCATGTATTTTTCACATCGCGGGGATTTTTCACGGACATTTACAGGAAACTACAACGCGGAAGTGCGCTCGACTATGAAAGCCCGAATGACTGCGGACATTCCTCGCGGAGTAGTAGTCTCTGCATGTTTCTTCTGTTTGTAGAAGAGCATCAAACTAGCTGGTAGCCCATCTCACACCACTGTAGCAATCCTATACTGCCCTCGTGTGGTTAGGAGCTGAATTGCATGTCAAATAAAGGGGGGAAATAAAACGGCGAACAGTAATAGTCGCATTAAAAAATCGATTTTTCAAAAATAAAACGACTGTTCGAAATTCGAAAATCGTGACCCATCCCTAGCTCAAATGAGTATCTGGCAAAAGTAAATTATAGCACTCTCGTGATGTGTTCAATGTAATCTTGTAAAATGTAGTTTATGGCGAGATGGTGAAATTTGTTGTTTTCACAGCAAGATAAAAAATATATTAGAATGGGGATTATGATATACAATATATAATAAAAAGAGGTTTTTTTAAAGGGTGTATAAAGGTTTCATGAATTTGAATTTGCTCTCATGCTAAGGTCGTGTAATAAGGCTGTAATTACTTACAAACAGTTCATTTGTTTTTTTTCATGGTGTAGATTTCTTCAACATAAAAACATTAGTAGTGGCTATCCACCAAATTGTTATTTTAAACATCAGCATCAGCCCAGAATTTCAAAATCAATGCATCCCTAGCTTCTCCAACTTGTTAGCATGGAAACTATATGAGAAACCTTACTATGTAGCAGATCCCCATGTCTATCAACATTAAAACTGAATGGTTGCTGCTTGAACGCCTCACACGTGTTGAGTGACGGCCATGGTTAATTTAAGCCCGGAGCTGATGACACTTAAATTGTTGCATCATGCACTTTACCACATGAATGAACAGCCTTCGTCATGCACTGCCTCTCTCTGTTTCTATTAGAAGCGGAGCAGGGCCCAAAGCCAGTGCCGGGGCCCCAGAGGGACGAGGACTTCGAAGGCGCCCAGTGGAACTGTGAAAGCTGCACCTTCCTCAATCACCCTGCACTCAACCGCTGTGAACAGTGTGAGATGCCGCGCTACACCTGAGCTTAGCGCTGCGCTGTAATGCCCCACCCCTGCCCCATCCCCTGCCAATCCTTGGATAGTATAAGCCCCACCCCTCCAAAGTCTGCAGAATCTGTGTAGAGGTCTTCCCCCTGTCGATCAGTATATAAGCCCCTCTTACCTGCTGAGGAAGAGCCACTACCCCTCTCTGCCCACTTGTCCTTCTCCCATCTACTACTCCTGTGCACTTTGACCCTGTTTATTTTCCGTTGGAGAATGATGATGAAGATTCTTATTCAGGACAGTCGGAGACTCTTATCATGGCAAATGTATAAAAGAGGGAGTGGCGCTGCGACTCTGGCAGTGGGTGGGTCGGGGCTTCGGAAAGGTCAAAGCGATCGAGGATTGAGGAGGAGGAGCTACAGTTTACCTAGAGAACATTCCACGCAGAAACAGAGACTGCCCTGTTTACAAGACTGCGCCCATTCCTGAACTGACAATGGAGGCACTTCCACTTTAATCTAGGACCTGTAACTCCCTCTCTGACAGTGGAACAATGAAAGCAATGGTATATACATTCTGACTAATGCGAAATGTAGACTGTACACTGTATCTGGCTCTGTATTAGAGCTCACTTCACTGAAAGAAGAACACTAAAAGACATTTGCATATGAGTATATTCCTGGTACTTTTATGCATATTATGCCACCCTGTATTATGTGTTCGGAAGATGTTGATTTCCTGTGCAAATGCCTCAACTTGCTGTACTTAATAAAGGAGCTGATTCTATGTGACTTGACCACGCACAGCTGGCATGTCTGCATAGTTCTTTATGTCGGTTTATGACGGAGGTAGGGAACGCAATATCTCAAGAAGGCCTTAAGGGAAGTCCTTCAAAATTGGCGCAAACATCCACCTAGACTCTAAGATGAGTATATTAGATTGTGGTGGTCAGAGGTCAGGGTCACTGTGACCTTGTGTACATCTCATGAATGCGAAATTTTAATAAGGTCTTGGGTAGGGATGGGAATCACCAGAGGGTCCATGATACGATATCATCACGATACTTAAGTCACAATACAATATTATTGCGATTTTAATGTCAACATTTGTATATCTAATAGGATTCAGTCTGTTCATCTCGCTTCAATAATTTTATTTACAACAAAAATGTATGTCGTGGACTGAATTATTATTCAAGTAAAATACCTAAAGTTTAATTTGTATTTGTAAAATTAATAATTTATATAATTAAAAAAGCAATACTTGACACTGTGTGACGATACGATATTGCCGCAATATAGCAATACTATTAATTTATTCATTAAAAAAATTGTAATTTCTTTAAATTTGGCACAAACGTCCACTTCAAATCAAGATTGAACTAATTCAAATAACTCGAGAATTCACAGGCTAATTATGACAAAATTTCACACAACTGTCTAATAGGATGAAATTATGACGTGATGGCAGTTTATACTCATAAGGTCAAAGGTCAACTTCACTCTGACATCATACAACATTTGGTCAGATACCGAATTGGTGACACTTATCTTGGGTGTCCAACCTTGAAATTCTACTGATTGTATAGATCGTCTGTACTGCCAGGTTGAAGATGTGTGTGAAGCATTAACGTTTCTTGCAGCAGCATCCATTATTTGAAGCATCGTCAGCCGTCACAGCTACACGAGTCCGGGCAGACATGGATGTTAACTGCGACTTCACTGGTTTGCAGAGGCAGTAATTCTAGTTAATAGCTCTCCTTTCTCCCCCCATCATCCAAACACACCTTGTTTTTCTCCAGTACATGTTTATTGTGTAAGTAATCATACCCCTGGGAATCAGAAACACAGCAGCAAATGGTAGTGGCATGCACACACTCTCACTTTCACTAATGTTGCCAGAGGAAGTTGGAGAAGTTTCTGACCCTGTCGAACGAAGTTTGAGAAGACAGATATTACCACCGCAGGTCCTCCGCCGCCACAGGTCTCACCTCTCGCTCAGGTATGAAACTTCCCATTTTCTACTTGATTCTCACAGTCCTCGTAACACTACTCATGCACGGCACATAGCACTCTGGCATCTCCTAAAGTACTTTATCACGGACCTTTAATTTAGATGCAAAAACTACATATACTGACTTTTTCTGATAACTACAATAATTTTCTGCTACAGCCTCTCCCTATCTGAAATTTGTTGTCTTCTTACTGGTGTTTACTCTACCAAGCATTCCCATTTCCTACAGGGTGAGAAGATAAGGAGGCATCACATGGGGAGCTGTGTGAGCACATGCTGGGTGGTATGATCATGCAGACGTGCGTGCACACTCGGCAGACATGGTCATTTGCCATCTTCCTTCCCACTGGTCTTCCTGTTGTGAATATTACTTTAATATGCTTAATGTGCATACTTACATATAATACAACCATTTTTAAAAAAAGAAGGTATAACTTGGGTTATGCTGCAGGTTTACATGTGATAGACTGCTGTTTATTAACCTCTCACCAGTATGCTATCATTTGTGGAATGTGTTCACTGCCTTAGGTAGCTTCTGTTTATTATCAGTATCTCTGATGCTTTAAATAGGACAAAAGAAAATACAGCGACTCTTTCGGAGCGTCATGACACCCTTTAACCCAATCTATTACACTCTGCTGGAGGAAGAAGGCTTTGCCAAATTCCAGTTTCTAGTGTAACTCTGGGGAAATGTAGCATTTCCTTAGGTGTGCCCTGTCTTCCTCACTTTGTCATGCTATAACTTCAATAGGACATTTCTCTCCCTGGATGTGTGACTTCCCTTATTGGCTTGAGTTTACATCATTCTCTGCTCTGATTGGTTAATTAGTCCATTGATTCGTCCCAGTATGGGGTCAGCGAATCCATCTGTTCCCTCCAGATTTTCTGCCCAAATTTAAAGACCTACTGGAGTTCCACTTAAAGGGGACGCGGTGTTATCTGAGCGCTGACATTCTCTCCCAAATTAAACTGGCTGGGTTGGAGTTCTTTTTCGCAGCCGTGTCTGCTGCCAAACCTTCTGGGAGAGACAGCACGGGGCTTCGGTCCAATGAGTGAGGATAGTCTCTGAGACAACAACAAGTTCACAGTATCAAATGGAGGAGCTCGTTTCCAGTCTTGAAACTAACAATAAGCATTTGTATTTTCTGTTTTTTTTTTTTTAGTCTGTAGTTATGCACTGTGTAACAGACACAAAGTTCCTATTTCTGAGAGGAAAGTGGGTGAAACAGAGAGTCTCAATTCCTCCTCTTGTCTCACACGTTTTAGTAGTAGTCTTCATAGTTCTTGGGGTTGAGGCAATAGAGGAGGGCTCCTCCAAAAGAGAAGATGGTCGACCCCCAGGCCAGGCCGTAGCCCCAGTTAAACTCGTGGTACACCCTCAGACTTACTGTCTCTATGAACTTGATGGGGAACAGGATCAAGCTGCACACCTGGAGCACCACTGCAGAGGGAAACAGGAAAGAGAGACAGTACTAATGTCAAAACAAGTATGGTAAATACACACAAAGTGGAAGAAGACACTCTGATAGCTACCAAAATCCTACATTCAACCTTTTTGTTTTGCCTCCCTTTCATCTTTCCCCTGACAGCTATCATGGATGTAGATTGCTGTGGAAGCTGGACAGTCATTGTGTTGTATTTTTGGACTGTCCTTGAGCTCCTCCTTCTTGTTTGTTTGCGACAGACTCTCTCCACGTACCTGCAGAGAACAGCATGACAGCCACAGGCTTGTAGCAGCGACTCCTGGAGCCCGAGCACAGGGAGATCAGCGCTACGAGGAAGGAGAGCAGGGTGAGGGCCGCCCCCCCCAACAGTAAGGCCAGTGTGGCAATCTGCCAGTCTGAGACACACACACACACACACACATGGGGACAGAGAGGAGGGAGGAGAGGCATGAAATCACACTGAGATAGAGAGTGACATAGGTAGCTAAAACGAGGTTACTCTGGAGAGCTGTGTCTGCGCTGTTGACAGCAGAGGCAAAGTGTTTAGATAGACGAGGAGGGACAAAGGACAAAATAGGTCCCAGGCTGTTTTGGTGAGCCGCAGCAACACTGCCATGGTCAATCTTTCACAAGAGAAAAAAATGATTCCACCCACTAACGTTTGTGGTGAATTACCACAGTGTAAACACACAAACTATTTGTGGTTTGGAGGCTGAGACTAACTCGTTGTTCATATTCTGAGAAGCTGACGATGGCTCATCGTGTTTTGATGTGAGCCACTGGGGATTCAAGGCCAGTGGCGGAAGAAGAAGAAGAAGAAGAAGAAGAATGTGAACCATGCGGTGAATAACCGTCGAACCGAGCACAGCAGTTTCTGGCTGACAAGAAACAAACAGACACACACACACACGCCTGGCTACGCTTGGATATCAGCGGGTTCAGTAATGGATCCCGATGCAGCAGAAAGCTTCTGTGAGAGGTGACTCAGATAATGAGTATCCCTCCCTCTTGGCTGATGCCAGCTCAGCAGCTTTCTCAGCATTTCATTCAGATTTACTCTAAAAACAGTCAACTGGAAATAACTGCCGTCTCAATCTCGCTTTCCCATCCTTGTTGGAGCGCCGAAGTGGCTGCACAAAAAGGGAACAAAATGTGTTTGTCAAAAATAGAGTGAAAAAAGGAGCGATTTTTTGTTTGCTTTGTGTAAATAAAAACAACCCACTTCATCAGAAGAGCGCGTTTGAGATTTAATTAGCCATGGGACCTTAACTGAGGATTGTTGAGAGACACACTTTGTGTTATTGTTCAGAGATTAAGGGTCTGCTCCTTAGTTTTTCTGTGTACTTGCGGAAACAGGAGGTCTGTATGTAAACAGGTGGAGGATATTATGATGAGGCATTTGATTACACAGGAGGAAATCATTTAAAGTGCAGTGGGTGGGGAAAAAATAACATCAAAGCACAAAGGAGATTGGCCTCTGCATAAGTCATTCACTATTACAGCGGGTGAAAAAAATCATACTGAAAGACTTAAATTTAGAGTGTGTCATTTTTTCATAAGTATACATAATATTGTCTATTATGGGGCCCAGGAAGTAAAAAATGATGAAGCGTTGCCAAGAATATTTCCTCTCTATTGAGGCAGAAAATCATTAAAACATTCACCAGTGGAGAGAAAGTGACGGAACATAAGCAGCTTAAAATACAGTTCCCACTCTTGTTGGAGGGAAACTTTATTCCAGGGGCCAAGCAGCTCAAATATAAACAAACATCAACTACTTCTGACCAAATATGGTTCAGGATTTAGGGTTTAAAAATGGGCCCTGTCACCACAGGATGTTGGAAAGAGCCCACAAAAAGCAGAGCACCCGCTCCCTCCTGACTCTGGCTTGCACAACACGAGGCCCCCTTGAAGACTGACCCCGTCACATTCTCTGCCACTGGTTTCCTCCCAGAAAAAGAGCCGCAGTGACTTGACCTGTTGTTGTCAAAGCCTATCACTGGTGAGCTATCTTCTCTCGGTCAGTTTGGTGCCTTCAGCCCAGCCGGCCCGCAAAGCCTTATCAGCGCGCTCGCGAAAAACAGGAGGATGCAGAAAGTCATCGCATCTCAGATTTGGAACAGACCCTGTTCGCTGTGCGAGAAACACAGCCAGAGTCGGAGTGCTTAAAGGCTGTGACGAGCAGGAAGCGCCAAACTATTAATCTGAGCCCCGCATGATGACAGATGGAAAAGGAGATACAGTACACAAGATCCAATCTGAGCATTAATTATGGTCCCATGTGTGCGTGTCAGGCACTGCTCAAGTGTTAATCGAAAAACTCCCTCAGGGCCCCGATTCTGTTTCTTTGTCTGAGACAATGGTGGAAGATCTGTGTCACAGAAGAGCCTCCAGTGTCTCTCTTGCTGTCACACACACTCAGTCTCACTCTGTTGTGAGGCAGCAGGATGGAGAAGTTTAAGAAACACGAGGATGTTCAGCCAGATGTGCCTGGTTCAAGACCTGAGTGTCTTTGCTCAAGAACCTTTTTTGTGTCTTGTGACCTCCCTCAAAGAACAGAAAGTCACCCAAAAATGGGATCAATAACGTATTACATTATTAATATGCTTTGGCATCACTGCGTCTAACTGAGCTGGGCTCGCTCACACACTGGCTCCACATTCATCCCCTCATCTCACACTGACCTGGTATCCACACACACACTGCTCTTGCATGACCGTTCCACATTCCTACTCCTGTAAACACTGTATCTTTTATACTTGACCTCTGACCCTCTGCCTAAGTGTGTGTGTGTGTGTCAATATTTTTGAAACACTTCATGAGCATGTAACAAGGCCATATCTCATGTCTGCTCTCTAATTCACACTTCATATTATTTTCCCGGACACACACACATGCAGGCCTCGCAGAAAGAGCTCAAAACATCTGAGCGGCCAGCTGGTGTTTCAAAACTAACAGGATTTGTTTAATGCCCAGAGCATGACACTGAGGAAATATTGGGGGGCTGACGAAGGAGAGGAGGGTGAGGAGGGGTAGAAACTGATTACTGGGATTCGAATCAATAAGCCTAGCCAAGCACACGCCTGAGGAAATGGGCAGTTTGCTGTGTGCATTTACTGTGGTATGCTGCTGCTGCTGAGAGCTGACAGGGAGACTGCATGTCTTTATATGGCACCAAAGTGCACTTTGTCTGCGCTGACAGAGGAGGATCGGGGCCAGCATGACCCACAGTTACTCATCTCTCAGACAGAAAGAAAACATTTTGTCAGACTAACAAAAACACAATTCACCACTCAGCACACAGGAGGAGGTCAGACGCAGCAAAAAAAAAAAAAAAAAAATATATATATATATATATAGGAGCACACTCACAGAGAATAAAACAAAGAGGCTGGTGTTGGAAACATAGTGTGATACAACCTTATTTCACATTTGCAGAAAAGAGTTTAGACAACTTTTATATGAAAAATAACTGATATATAACAAAATATTAAGTGGAAATCAGTACATTAAAGTGCAGACACAGGGGAACACCTGCAAAATACAATACAACCCCATTAAAAACAATGCAGTAAATACATTTTTGAGGCACAGGTTTAGATTTTGGAGGTGATACAGGGGTCACGTCGCCCTCAATATTCGGAATATGTGCATTTGTCACCCACAGAAAACATAAAGGTAGGGGATGACTTTTATTGACAAAATTAATGACATGTAGCCAATAAATTGGTGCAAAAAAGGCACAAATTGGTGCAAAAAAAGTGTTTGATGCTCAAATTTTTCTGGTAGAGGAACTTTCATATGTGCACCCCTTGTGCACGTATAGTTTGCGATGTTTGTACTAGAGTTTAATATACTGTAAGGTGTTCATATTATGTTGTCCACATTATAATCCAGTGTAATCTATTACAGCAGTACCACAGACTGTGGCCCAAAGAAGTTGCCAGTTTTTAAACAGTTTAGAAAAATAACATTAAAAATTGCACATTGATGCTCAACATTTTCTGGCAGGGGACCCCCAAACACCACTTTCATATGTGCACCCCTCAATTTTTAAATGAAAGCGATGCCCTATAGTTTGTGGTGTTTGCCCTAGACTTGAATATACTGTAAGGTGTTCACGTTATTTTGTCCAATTTATAATCTAATACAGCAATACCACAGACTGTGGCCCAAAGAAGTTGCCAGTTACAAACTGTAGGGTTGCTGTATTGAATTAAATTTGATTTTTTCAACAAGGCAATTTTTTTTTTAAATTAAATCATTTTAGATTTTTTTGATGATGTTCATGACCTCTCCGCAACCGCCCTTCTGTCCCCAAATGTCCGGCTGTGATGGAAATATAAAATGCTTCCAGATAAGAAAAAACAAACTTCATGGGGACATCATAAAGAAGTTTCCCTAAAAGAGGAAAATCAGCATTTCTGGAGTGCTTCACTTGTTTCCCTGGTTACTAATCTCCAGGCATCTGGATCTCTGGGGAGTTCTCTGCTCTGAGTTGCCCTCGCTCCTTGGCTGGTGGAGAAACCCACACAAAGGCTCATTTTGTGAGCAACAAAAGGCCAAATGAAACCCCAGCTGGACCGCTCCTGGCGAGGCGAAATTCCCACATCATTCAGTGGCGCACTGGGCAAATGTTTGAGAAGAAAAGTTAACTCGCCTAGATAGAAAAACCAAACACGTCTTAATTCATCAGACTTTGACACTCGGATAAACTTTTTCTTGCACTTTTTTTCCTTTTAATTTCCCACGTGGAGAGCAGAAATGTGCAGCCCATTGTTCAATATCTTATTTCCTGTAGAAAAGTTGTGCAGTTTAAATTAAGCAGGCGATAGCTAATTATAAAGTAATTAACATTTAGCACTCTCCTGGGTGGTGTTTTATAATTCCCACCCACAGAACAGATTGGTTGAGCAGTGCACTGTCTGCAGGGACCCTTTGTTATCCCCGTGCGCTCTGCATCTGACTTTCATTTGAATATCAATGTGGGTGTCTGTCTGCACCCCGAAACCTTCCATTTTAAGGGGGAACATCCCTAAAACTACACCAGCCCTCTGGTTTAAAACATCCCAAACAACATGGTGGCGCATCACCCCATCAGCCACAATAAGTCAGTGTGTGTGAGCGCATGAGCGTGCGTCTGTCTCACCGGTGGTCAGCGTGCTGTTGCAGGACCACTCCGCGGAGCTGACGGGCTTCCAGCAGGACACCCACATGGACAGGTAGTACTGATCATCCGCCGTGACCCACGCCGGGCTCAACACGGCCCCGACATCCAGGCACAGGGCGAGAAACACGCACACCAGTCCCACCAACTTCAGGGGCGTCAGCGCCGACACCCGGACCTCCTCTGTGCCGCTCACGGATGAAGCCATGTCTAAAGTATCTTACTCATTTAAAAAAAACAAGAAAAAGAAGAAGATCGTGTGTTTTGGGGAGTTTGTGCTGCTCCTCAGATCCACGAAATGAGTCAGGTAAAGTTGTTCTTGTCCCCCCTGCCCGTGCCCGTGCTGTGGGAAGCAGGATGGGGAGCCGCCGCTCACTCCGCGTCCCGAGTCCAGAGGACGCTGCTGCCGCCGCTGTAGAGCCAGAGCTCTGCTGACGGGACCGAGCTGCAGCCCTCTGAAATAACACGGGGCTGCACCTGCTGGGTCCTAGTGCCTAAATCTACCCCCACCCTTTACACAGCATCCCTCTATGTCTGTTAGCCCTCATGCACTGGAGAGGGAGTAAAATATAACAGTAGCTATAGGCATTTAAATCTGTGCAGGTGGTGTATCTGAATGATACAACTTTACAGCAAATCAGATTTAGGCCTACACACCAGGGGTGCTATGGAAGTGAATAGCAGAAATATTTTAAAGTCAACTTCTTTGTAGGATTCCACAACTAGGCCAGAATATAATTATAATAATAATTTTGAAAAAACTGGAGAAATACATAGCTTTCTGGGTAAATATTTTAATCTTGAGGGCCCTTTTTTTCTCCTTTTAATAGAATTTTAGTTTTCATCATTTCATTGTTCGGGGAAATTTGTCAGAGCATTAAATTCTCTTATAACAATGCCCTGAATTCACATTCATATGGGCTAAAAAGATGTGGGCATATGGGCAGGGGGACGACACTATCAAAGTGGGCCCCTCATCCACACCCATCTTTGGGTGGGGGAGGGTGTTACTTTACATATCACTAAGCAAAATGTTATACTTCCTGTGAATATAATCCTGTCAATCATATTTTGACATGTATGTTGTATCTACTGTTAAGACTGTGTTTTCTTATTTTGAAAAGCAGAGGTACGTCACACATGTGAGTTCTGGGTTGAAAAAATGCCCTCCAATGACATGGATTGAGGAAATTAATGCAAAATATTCAATCATAAGATCAAATCAGGGGTGAACAAATACATTTTTTCTTCAGTTATTCGTTCAATCCTGAGGGCTACTTTAATTGCTGAACTGAAATAGTGTAAAAAGTATTTGGTTGTCAACTCTGTTGTCCAGTCGTGCCCAATTTATGTAATATCAAGACTCTTAAGGGACCCCAGTATGCAGACATATTTAAATACACCATTTTCAGATCAGATGGAGCGCACCATTTCACAATGCCTGCAGGGGGAACGTGAGATGGCAGCTGAAATGTGTTTTAATGATAAAAATACACAATAACAATACATATGTTGTATTGTCAGTCATATAAGTCAGTAAGTAAATTGTTGTAGGGTGCTTGATCCAATTTAAGGGTCAACCATGGACCTTTTCATGAAACACCATGAAGTGAGATAGATAGTTAGATAGATAGATAGATAGATAGAGATAGATATTCTGACATGCTCCAATGTTACATGATAAAATACTTTCAACCATTCTGCTGCATGGTATTTCGAGTATGTGTGGGTTGGCTAACACTGAAGCTCCTCGGCTTCCTCATTAAAAACAGGTGCTGATTGGCTCACTTAAAAGCACTCCCTTGGTTAGGGTCTGTTAAATAATTGTGTCCAAGTACTTACATTGTTTGACTTTTTCTACAGGGTGATTATTGGGTATGACGGGGAGGATATGACTGGTCCAGCCTGCTTCTTTTGCTGTTAGCTGTTCGCTCATCACATCTACATCACAAGCTGACTCACATGTGTATCAAAGGTTGTGTTTTTTCCTCTTGAATATTATCAGCCTGCAGTCACATTGTTCAGGATGAAATTCAAATCTCTCCCTAACCACAGTCTCATGCAGCCTGTTCAAAACCTGCATGACATGTTTTTATTAAAACTTATTTTTGACTTCAAGGTTAAATATCACTGTGAGTGTCTGTCAGTGGATACTGCGGCGTCTTAACAACTTCAACTGCAATTCTGTTTTGCCCCTGGAGGGTTGTGCAGCAAGTAAAAACATAAAAAGGCACGAGTGAACACATAAGGATATAAATGCTCAACAATCAGGGGGACATACTGAAAACCAACAGTGAAGTGCTAATGTAATGCTAATTTACTGTCTTTATGTTGTGCTGTTTTAGTGTTTTTTTCTGCGTTTTTCTGGGGGAGAAATGTAAAAATGTCTGTGGAATGAAATGCAGCCACCTTGAGACAAAACTGATTTTACACACACCTAATGGTGCAACCTAGAAACGTCAACAGTGATGCAACCTGGGGTCATCAGGTGTTTCAACATCATACACCCTTGCCCAGGCGACCCAGCCAGGGTTGATCAGACCCCAGGCTGTGTCTAGGCAGCTAGTGTGGTCCATGGTTCACCCCTTTTGATCCACAGACATCCTGATGCCCTCTCAGCAGCATCAGTGATGTTCCTGATGGCTCTCCTGCTGTGCACTTCTCTGATGCCCAGCAACTTGAGGGCCCTGCAGAACAACTAGCCGGCAAATTCTCTATGGGGTAGCATCAGGTCTTCCATCCATTGCTTCGGCATTAGAGCTCCTCATACTAGGCCTTCTTCCTCTCAAATGCCTCTCCCATCCGGTCTTCACAGGGCACAGTCAATTCCAGCAGGACCACCTGCTCCAATGATTCTGACACGAGAACCATGTCAGGGCTGAGCGTGGTCACAGCTATGGTGTCAAGAAATTTGAGCTGTCTCTCCAGGTCGACCTTCAGCTGCCAGTCTGTTGCCAGAAGTTGCGCTGACGGGTTTGTGCGCTGTTGTGGCTTCTCAAAACATTCAGAACAAAACATTTGTTTTATTTTTTCCTCATTTAACCAAACTTTTCTGTCAGTGGGCTCACCTTTAACTGCATCCCTGCTTTACTCTTGTGACACCCTTCTTCTCTCTGTCTCTTTGGGTTACACTTTGTTTAACACCCTATTTTCTGTCACACACACACACACACACACACACACACACACACACACACACACACCGAGCAGAGGGAAGCTTACACAGCTCATTTTTTTTCCTAATTGAACTTAGCTAATCCTTTGTCCTTAGGGAAGAATCTGGGAATTAATTCATATTGATTAACACACTTACATACTCACACACATGCACAATGATATCTATGCACACGCACACACACACACACACACACACACACACACACAAACAAGGAGTTTTTGCAGCAAATTAACTTCATAGTTGTACTTGAACAGAAATGCAACGTCAGCATCTGCGTAAAACTTAAATTAATTGAGGCGACTGTCAGTTGCAGTAAAAAGTTACTGAGTGGTTGCTGAAACACTGAATTAAAAAAAAAAGTGTTCATCTAATGAATATTAAGTTTTATTGTGTTAGTGAATTTAATTTCACAAACCAAATAGAATTGTATTACTTCCGTTATACAGGCAGGTTGACAAGAAGTTTTATTTTACTCTGTGTGCGTGCATGTGTGTGTGTGTCTTTGAGTTACCGGAGTGTAGGTCAGCTGTTCCTGGCGGCAAAGTCTTTCAACATCATTACTGATGATTACAGATTGTAATCAGTAGGGACTCGCTGAGTAAAAACAGGAACACACACACACACACACACACACACACACACACAAACACACAGTCCTCTCATCAGCATTAATACAGTATAACATTACTGCTGTGAAGTTGCTGTGCATATTTGATCGCGTGTGTGAGGTACAAAATGTCACTGCTCAAATTGAAATTTTTAAATCCATTGACACAGAACATTAAGCAGAAGTTAAACCGCATGGAAACAAATTGATAACTGTTGTCTCTCCCTCTGCCATCAATAACTGTCAGGCAGTGCATCACAGCTGATTGGCTGATGTGAGCAAAATACAAAATTAGAGCAGGTGAGCAGAAATGTGGCGCACATACAACAAATACATTTATCTTTTAGTATTAATAATTACAGTTTAATGGGGTGGAATTTCTTTTTTAGTCTTTTAAGGCCATGAAAATGTCAATGGTTACATAAACTTACAGTCATCCCAACTGACCAGGATCAGAAACTGAACTTGTCATCATCAATTCCACCATAACTGATGACCATTACTGCACCAAATGCATAATACTCAGAGGTGGAATGTCTTTTTCGATAAATGTAATGCCATTTTAACAACAGAGTAGTAATGCTAGCTAAGCTTTAGCTCACCAACAATGTTAATATCAGCCACGACTTACCATTCTTTGTGCAACTTTGAATGTTGAACATAGTTGGAACTTGTTTCATCTCCACATGTAATTTTCGACCTGCACTATCTGCGCAATCTTTTTTTTTTTTTTTTACCACCACATTTTTTATATGTGAATATAATTATCTTTGATGTCATTTTTTCCACCTGGTGCTCAGAAATTCAAAGTGAGTTCTTCATGGTTCTCTCCTGCAACTTGACTGGATGCTGTCATAATAATTCAAACAAAGTAGATCTGGATTCGCTTGGAATGAACCGAACAATCGAAGAGAAATTCATGGATTTGTGGCACAATAGTGTTAAAGTCCTCGTTGCGTTGCAAGCCTTTATTGATTTTGTCAAGGCGAGTCTAAAGTCATCAAGTTTGTGACTTGAGGCCAAGTCATGTGACTCAAATCCACACCTCTGCTAATACTTATATTCACAAAGCACTTTTCAGAGCTGTTCTTTTCAATTCACAGTAAAGTCAAAATTGAGTTTCCTTTACAAATTAATCTAATCTACAATATGTATCTTTTGGACTAAATTTTGTGTTCATATCACTGAGGACATCAACTTGCTTTTACAATTCAGTGCATTTTCAAAACTACAATAGAACATAATGACAACAAAAGAAGATTCAGTTACTTACTTTCACGGAAAAACATCAGCATGACTGAATTTGATTTAATCAAGTCAGACACAAACAATAGAAATAAAATTTGTTGGAAATATGCACATCAGTCAGATCCAGGAAAAGAAAAAGGGACATCTGATCATATTAAAAGTTTTTTTTTTTTTTTTTTTTTTTACATCATCATGTATTTTCTTTTCCAGTTTATGAGATATGTTGATATATCTAAAGGTGTACTATACAGCAGTGGTTCCCAACTGGTCCACCCACGGAGTCCAGATTTCTCTTTAGTTCAAGGTCCACACAGTTTAAATGCACTCAGCCTCATATTTGCATTTGACCATGTTGTTGAGCTAGTTTGCTGTCTCTGTTAAGCAGCTGTCTGTTAGTCACTCACTCTACA